ATCAGGTAGTGTTTCATTCTGTTGTGTTTAGGGTCACTATGAGTCAGTACTGACTCAATGGCACCTAACAACATAGTGGGAACAATTACAGAAACGACTTAGACATAGATACTTGACTACTGAATGTTTAGGACCTATACTTGAATGTTTAGCTCCATAGTTTCAGGGGACATCAAAGTCAACTGGCAAAGCACAGTAATGATTATGTTCTGTATTCTAGTCTGATAAGAAGTGCCTGGGGTCTTAAAAGATTGGAAGAGGCCATCTAAGAATCAACTATTGTTCTCTTCCACCTGGAGCAAGGAATTAAGAAAACTGAAGACTCAAGAGAGCAATTAGTCCAAAGGACTAATCTAATGGTTCTTATGAACCATGTTGTTGTTGTTATGTGCCGTGGAGTCGGTTCCGACTTATAGCTACTCTGTACAGGGTTTCTGGGCTGTAATCTTTATGGGAGCAGAAACCCTCATCTTTCTCCCACGGAACAGCTGGTAGTTTCGAACTGTTGACCTTGTGGTTCCCAGCCCAATTCATAACCACTATGCTACCAGAACCATAGCCTCCCCTAAACTGAGATCAGTAGAACCAAATTATGCCCCACTACCATAATGATTGCTCTAATCAGGAACACAATAGAAAGTCCTGATCAGAATGGGTTAAAAAAATTAAAATTCAAATAATAATAAAATACAAGTGACCAAACTTAACTGGTCTGAAAGAGACTAGAGAAAACCCTGAGACTATTGCCGAATATTCTAATTTGAAACTCAAGACAATCTCAGAAAAATCATACACAAACCCATAAAATAAACATACCCATAAAGAACTATACCAGACCAAAAGAACAACATTTGCCCAAAACCAAAGATTAGAAGCCAATGGAGGACAGATCAAACCTGATTAATGGAAAAGGGGACCCAGGGATGAAATGGGGAGAGTGCTGAAAAATTGTGGGGATTACAACCAGTGTCACAGAACAATTTGTGTATGAATTATTGATTGGAAAACGAATTTGCATTGTAAGCTTTCACCTAAAACACAATAAAATGTAAATAATCAATTGGAATTTTTCTAAAAGATACAGTATATTTGGAAGAAGCACTAAATCCTCTCTAGCATCCAATGTTCCAGGAAAACTCAAAGTAAGTAAATATTATGGGCAGGTAGGCCTTAAAGCACCACTTATCTGTCAGTTTGTTGTACTGTGGTGGCTTGCATGTTGCTGTGATGCTGGAAGCTATGCCAAAGGTGTTTTAAATACCATGGTAGACAGGTTTCAGCTGAGCTTCCAGATTAGGACACACTAGGAAAAAGGAAAGAACTACTTCTGAATGGTTCAGCCACTGAAAACCTTTGAATAGCAATGGAACATTGTCAGATATAGTTCCAGAAGATGAGCCCCTCAGATTGGAAGACACTGTTAATACCACTGGGAAAGAGCAACCTTTTCAAAACAGAGTTGATTATGATGATGCAAATGAGTCAAGGTATCGGGACCTCCATTTTCTGATGGGGCACAACTCAAACTGAGAAAAGCAGCTGCAAACATCCATTAGTAATCAAGAACATGAAGTATATCAAGCATGAATCTTGGAAAACTGGAAGATGTCAAAAATAAAATGTTGTTGTTGTTGTCAGGTGCCATCGAGTCGGAACTGACTCATAGCAACCCCATGCACAACAGAACAAAACAATGTCCAATCCTGGGTCA